ACAACTTTAAAGATGATTTTCTCAATATTTAGATTTTTTTGCACCCTCAGATTCCAGATTTTCTAATAGTTGTATCTCAGCCAAATATTGTCCTATCATAACAAACCATACATCAATGGAAAGCAATTTATTCATCTTTCAGATGATGCATACATCTCAATTTCCAAAAATGGACCCTTATGACTGGTTTTGTGCTCCAGGGTCACAATATGACAAATGCATACAAATAATAAATGTTATTAATCAGTCGCTCTGTGTGCGCAGGTTCAGACAGACATTCACGTGAACACTACTAAGCAAACTCTTCAGGGTGTGGCATTCCCTCTGGACGGAGAGGCCGTCGCTGCGTTACAACAGTTCAAGGACAAAAAACTCAACTACGTTCAGCTGGTGAGAGACGCACACGTCCCACGATGCAGCAGTCAATCGACATTAAAGAGAAACAAAACAAAACAGTTTTTGGTTGATATCTGTTGTTTTATTTCCAAAGAGCATCAATTTTGAGAAGGAGCTGATCGTGCTGTCGAACACGGACGCCACGGAGATGAAGGATCTGCCCAAGCGGATCCCCAGAGACGCGGCGCGCTATCACTTCTTCCGCTACAAACACTCGCACGAGGGCGACTACCTGGAGTCTGCAGGTACAGACGGCACTCGTGGGTTTGATCATCCACTGTGAGAGGAGATGATTCCCTTCTTCTTCAAATCCACATTATAGTTAACTAAAACTACGCTAAAACCATAAAAAAAATACAAATTATAAAACGGATAGTTCCGGTCCTTGATTCTGATTGGCTGAGCCGCGTTCAGAGCTATTGTAAATTACTCTACAAACACACACCTTTGTTTACTTCTGTGTGTTGCTCGTCAACCACTTTGTTGCAACCACAACTGTTTCTGAGGAACTACATTGTTTGGTGGAAGAATACTGTTTTTATTAATATCATTACACTTTATTTGCTCTGTTTTATTTTGTGAAACCTTACTACGTATATGGAATAACCGTTTTATAAAAGCAATAAGCCCCGTGAAGCCGTGGCTTACAGTGAATTTATAACAGCTAAGGGGTTTTTAGGCACTCCGCTTCGTGTCTAACAATGCCCCTTAGCTGTTATAAATTCACTGTAAACCACGGCTTCACGGGGCTTATTGCTTTATTTCATTGCTTGAAATTAAAACATAAAATATAGAAATATATAAAAAATATTTTTTTTATTTAAAAAATCCTA